TATTTTATTGTCAACTTGCAAGGGGGTCCCTGGCCAGAAACTAAAGTTATTTGGGGGGCCTTGGCATGGAAAAGTTTGGGAACCCCCGCAGTAAAGTATATGACAACAAGGAGCCTTTTTTATAATGTCATAAATTTCTACAAGTTGAGATCAGTTGTATTTGCACTGACAGTGATATGTGTGAAATCACATATTATAGTCATTCTGGGTATCTTATGTTTAAATAACATCCATCCATCCATCCATCCATCCATCCATCCATCCATCCATTATCTTTTACCCATTTCTTCCTTTCAGGGTCATGGGAGGCACTGGTGCCCATACTGTCACTTTGTCAGGGGCAGGGTGCACCTTGGACAGATTGCAAGTCTATCACAGGGCCCTTTTAAATAACATAATGAAGTATTTCAACATTTATGTAAATAACTGAGAAGATTTATTTATTAATCTTTCTTTAACCAGACAAGTTCCGTGAGATGCAGCTGAGATGTTTGTGAAGCATAGTTCAGGTGACTCTGATATTAGTGACTTTGACAGAAACAAGATGTTTTTTTCTGGTGGTTGGCTGCTCAGCTGACAGCTGACTGACATTTGACAGTTGCATGTGGAGTGGACACCTGAGATCTGATCACTCAGGATGCAGTTGTCTGGTGTCTAGTTCTTTTTTCTACACTGACCTCAGTTCTCCAGCTCAATGAGCCTGGCCTGTGGATGTAGTGAGAAATTTCTCYTCTTCTTTTGAGAACAAGGTGGGAACACTCAGGCTCTCATGTTTCGACAAGCTAATGATCCATCTGTCATGTCTCCATGTTTAGCTGTTTTTGATTGTTTTGAGCCCATCTCGCTGTCCTTCTCAGGGCAGCTGATTTCCGGCATKAAATTATCTGGTTCCCCCTCTGACTTGTAAAGGAGTTCTTTCCTATTCTTGGCCCTTCTAGTCTCTCTATTGTGAATAACAGTTTAACCTCTGGTGTGGTGCCAAAARGTTTTAAACATGCAAGGGTGGTGGTGTCAAACTTTAGGCCTGTCTCTAGACTCCCATTTTTGTTGATTCTCAGTCAAAATGTTTCCAGGAGGAACATTCAGCCTTGGAGGTGTTCCAGTCAGGCTTTAAGATTGAACACTGCACTGCTCTGTTGAGGGATTTTTATTATATTTTCATAGCAGTGGATGAGTGCTTCTTAWYCTGTTGGACCTTACATCTGCTTTTGACACCATAGACCTTAAAGGGGACCTATTGTGCAAAATTCACTTTTTAAAGTTTTTTTTTACTCAACTTTGTGTATGTACTTCTTAAAAAAACAGTCCTAGGACCAAAAAAATGCAGCCAGGGGCATATTTACTGTAAGTAAATGTATTTTTAATGTATATTAACAACAAGTTTTATACTTCCGTCATTTTGTGATGTCACAAGCCGTACGACAACCCACCAGAACCTGCGTTCAGCCCCTTACCTAGCAACCCCCGGGTGAGACTCCACCTCCTCAGAGTAAAAAGACGTCACCGTGTTGTTGTGTAATGTGCAGCTTGTTTCACAACAAGCCTCCAATAGGGCAATGAGTAGAGTGGTGGACCAGAGAGTGGGAGACCAGGGTTTGAGACCGGCATGGACATAATGTAATTATGTATTTATTTTTGTTTGTTATGAACACATTTTCTCATGTAGCTCTATTGTTTATCTTATTAAAACCTTGTTAAAGCCTATTTGTTAGAGTTTCTGAGGTATTTTGACCGCTGCTGCTCCCTGCTCTGGTAACAGCATGCAGAGTGAGCGCAGAGCAGAGGAGGGAGAGGAAAAAAAGAAGCTGGGACCACGACTCTGCCTCTGGGTCTCATATGGTTGTACAACGGAGCTTCTGCTATTATTAGCCATGCTAACGTAAACGCTGGCTTTGGAGGGCGGAGTTAATGTCAACAGATTTTTGGAGGGCGTTACCAACAGAGCTCATTAACATAAACAGCTCTTCTGAACAGAAGTCAGAGCAGGCAGAACTAGAAAATGGGAAATTTTATTATCTGAGAATTATTTTGTGCATTAAATTGAATGAACATGGTCTGGATAGCCCACAGACATACCATAAACATTTCTAGGACCCATAATGGGTCTCCTTGAAGATCCTCATTTCTAGGCTTGARTAGTGGAAGGGCATTATAGGGTCAGCCTTCAAATATTTAGGCCATATCTCTCAGAKAGAAGCTTTTGTGGCAACATCGTCTTTTTCTTCCACCTTTGTGGGTCTCCTGTCAGGAGTACCACAAGGTTCTATTCTTAGACCTCTTATTTTGTCTTTATACCTTTATACCATTAGGTGCTATTTTTTTAAAGACTACATCCCTTTTCAACTTTATGATTGCCATATAAATTTCCCTCTGAAGGACTCTGATGCACACTCCATCCAACCTTGGTTGCCTGGTTGACACCAGGAGTCGGATGGCTTTAAATTTCTTGAATTTCTATGAGAAGAAGACTGATGTTTTGTTGTTTCTACCTAATGAAACCAGGAGGAACCCCCAAATGGACCTTTCCTCCCTTGACCCTGTTAAGAAAAATGCTGTCAGAAATCTGGGAGTAAAAATTATTCCTTCCATAAAAAGAAGCAGTCATGTAAACCCAATTGTCAAATCCTGTTTTTCAGTTGAACTGCCTGTCTAAAATGAAGCCCTTACGGTCCAAAAGAAATTTTGAGACAGTGGTACATGTTTTTATAACATGGAGGCTTGATTACTGTAAATCACGTTTTTATGGAATTTGTCAGATTTTTGTTGCTCGTTTGCAGCTTTTACCAAAGTGTTCTCTGACCAAAGTGTTTCCCAACACATTTCCCAAGTTTTAGCTTTCCATCGTTGTTTTCTAGGTCACTTCTAAATTCATTTTAAAATTCTTTTGTATGTTTTTCAGTCTCTCAACAGTGGTGCTCCCTCTTATCTCTTTAAACGGCTGCAGCCGTATGTACCACGGCACTTTGAGGTCAGCAGGTCAGATGCTTTTAATGGTTCCATGCTCCTGATACAAGCTCAGAGGTGACAGAGTTTCTCTGTTGCAGGTCCAACACTGTGGAATGATTTCCACTTCGTTAAGCTCCTTCTTACTCTCTGTAAGTCTCATTTAAAAACACACTTTTTCCCCCTGGCCTTTGACCCAGTGTGAGATGATGTTATTCTTTTTGTCTTTTTTGTTGAGTCGGTTTATTTCTTTAGTTGAGTCCTCTGTAGATTTATATATTTTATTCTGTGTCCTCTGCTTGTTTTATTGYACAACACTTTGGTTGGCCTTGATGTTGTTTTTAAGAGCTTAGAAAAGTTATGGTATGGTATGGTATGGTATGGTATGGTATGGTATGGTATGGTATGGTATGGTATGGTATGGTATGGTATGGTATGG